ACTCCCGTCACTGTAATCTAAAGCAGTGGTATAGATAAGTCTGTATCACAGAGTTTCACACCTAGAATAGCCAAACACCATCTACTCAGGCTCCCTGGATTCTACAGCACTGTATGCCACCCCTATGGCCCTCCACAGGTAATTCCCTACAGGTCAGGAACACAGTATGAAATATGGAAAATTTTCTCATTCATTACATGCCCTTGATTTTGTCATGGTCCACGTATCTGACAGGAAACGAAAAATCAATTTATAGTAGCATGGTGTGGACTAACAGCACCCAGACTCCACTATATATCAGTGCACCAGTTACCAAATATCCCCAATTCCCATGTGCTGTTGAAGGGGTGACATCTGAGACTGTACATGTGCTGTCACAGGTAAAGAAGTCTGAAAATCATGTTATGTTTCTACTTTCAAATGAAGAAACAGACCGCTATTTCACAAGCCAGAGGATGGCACTGAGCAAAGAGAGAGCCAGCCTAAGGTTGCTTCCCCTCAAACCACGACTTATTGAGATCCAGAAAGGAAAAAACGGGTATGGATTTTATCTACGGATGGAACAAAATACTGGTGGTAAGATCCAAGTTAACACACAGACCATGACATTTGCTGTACCATTTATTCCTAGATGATGTTTGCAGCCTCATTCTCTTTGGTTTCTTACTGGTCATCTTCAAGAAAAACAGCCTCAGCCTGAAGAGCAATTCTGACCATTTACATTTGCCATGCTTTTTAATGTTTTTAAAACTCACCAAGCTCTACCTTCACAGCAATCTTTCTCCCCTTCTTATCTCAGACCATGTAATCAAAGATGTGAATTCTGGAAGCCCAGCAGCCGTGGCAGGTCTAAAGGACAATGACATCTTAGTGGCTGTCAATGGCGAGCGAGTGGATGGGCTGGATCATGAAAGCGTAGTGGGGAAAATTAAGCAGTCTGAGGAAAGAACCTCCCTGTTGGTGGTGGATAAGGAAACCGACAGCATGTACAAGCTGGTAAGAAAATGCAAACTACTGCTAGGAACTGATAATTTATCACAATGAAACAGCCAATCTGCTCTGACACTTTCAACTAGCAGGAAACATCTAAGAGACACCTGCATTCCAGCACCTCCACTTACACTGAAACAGTCACTGAACACCAAAATCTTTGGACTCTTCCTGATGTTTATAGACACTATTGGAACAATTCTAATACATCACAAATACATCACAATTCAAATACATCACAAGAAAGGTTAAGGTCTGCTGTTAAGACATCAAATTCAGAGCTACATGACTGTGTAACCATTTATGAATAACAATCATAAATGATTGTTCCCTTCTCACATAAATCAACACTGCAAATTTCCACTCAGAATAGGGAAGAATTCTTCACTGCAGCTAAAGTCTGAGTTGTTAACAAAGTTTCAAACAAAATATGTTGAGCATGAGAGCCAGAAATAAATTTCACAACAGAAATTTTTGGTTTAATGTCATTTTTTCACTTCTTTCAGGCTCAAATTTCCCCTTTCTCATACTACTACAAAGCTCAGGATTCAACCCCAGCTAAAATGGAGGAAAGAGTGCAGTTGCACACTGAACAGAAAGTGAACCACAAGCCAAGGATCTGCAAGATGGTGAAAGGACCTAATGGATTTGGCTTCAGTTTAAACATGATCAAGAACAAACCTGGATTGTTCATCACTGAGGTACTAATGAAGAATGAGGAGCAAGGAGAAGCTCAAGTAGTCTGTTGGGCAGCTTCCTCCCCTCCATATCCTGCAAACAAATGCAAGAAAAGCCACAGAAGTCTCCTTTCCAGTGTTCTCAGATCAGAGCTAGAATTGTTTAAGTCAGACTAAAACTGTTGACCCAAGATAAAAAATGAGCACCAGAAAACACTCCTTCTTTTTAGAAATCTAGAGGGATTAGTCAGCTTTTGCATAATTTTTGCTTTTATTCATGAGTCTGGCCCACTAAAATTATTTTAGACAGAATTGGTTTTTACTGTAGAACAGCTTAATGATAGAAGAGACACCTTTGCCCTACTTCTACCCACATTCTGTGAATTCCACAGCTGGTAAAAGTCAAACTCCTCCTGTCCCAAATTACATCTGTAACTTCAGCTTTCTTGAGATAAGGGGTTCCACTCATTACTAAGGGATCTGTGAATTGTACTAAACATTTAAGTTATTGGACAGAGACCTCCAAATAGTACTAAACACTGAAGTTATTGGACAGAGACCTCCAAATAGTTAGAAAACACTTTTTCTACCTGTCTTCATGGTTCTGCCATGCCACATTCCCATAATGTAAGTCTATCAAGATAAAGAAACGTTTTAAAATTTCAAATTGATGGGCTCTGTTACATCTGGGCCCACTGCCCATCCCAATTCCTTCCTGCTCAACAAATCTCCCCTTCCCCACGCTTCTTTCACCATTCTCCAGGGAAAGCAGTAACACAGCTCCCCCCCAGCTGTTCAAGCATCTTTCCAAGCTTTATGCCAAGATGCTTTGAACTCCCCTCTGCAGGTACAAAGCCAGGGACCAGCTGGCAGAGCAGGTGTGGAAAACAACGACTTCCTGGTGGAGGTGAACGGAGTGAATGTGACCAACGAATCCTATGACAAAGTGGTGGCAAGGATCCAAAGCACTGGGGACAGACTGACACTGCTGGTATGCAGCAGAGATGCTTACAGGTACTTCCAAGGCCAAAACATTCCCATCACAGCCTCCATGGCAGATTCAGACACTCCTGAGCCTGCTGCTCACACAGAAAATCATCCACCAGAGCCAGAGAGGAGCTCACCTGAGCCGAGGGAAAGGGTGAGTAATCCTGCATTAGGCAGATGCTGAGGGATCACACATGGGACAGAAAAAACACTTTTTTTTTTCAGGTAGTAAGTTTTCCAGAGCTAGGATTGTTAACTTGAGCATGGATTTTTCCAAGTTATTAAAAGGAAAGCTGTTAATTATCACAACTCTTTTTTCCCCCACACAATACAGGTGAGTATCTTTAATGCAATAGTAAAAAATCACACAAAGAACTCACATATAAGAGATTTTATGGAACAAGATAATTCAAATACAGTAATCCCAATGATGGGAAACGGGCAATACAATTGTGGAAGTGGAGGGGAAAGTGCTTAAATACACAAAAAACATAAACAATGTTTGTGAAAACCACATGAAATATTTCAAAATTGATCACTTTGGAGAAGGAACAGCAAGTGATAGGTTATGATGACATTTTCTACGCAATGTGCCGTTTTGAAATTATTTTACTCACTTCATGTCACTAGAAAGAATCCAAAGCATGACTAAAGTCAGAAAAGCAAGGTGTTAATTCTTGAAACACTTTTAACCCTCTGTGGTCAACCTTAAATATTAAAATGCTTATTTTCTGATCATGCAAAAGAGACAGACAAGGTAAGACCAATAGTGTTTCCCATTTATTTTTCATTAGCCTTGTCTGCAAGTTTTTCCAAGAATGTCTTAGTCCCCAAGCTGCATTTTGCAGAAGTTAGCACTACTTTTGAGTTCAAATTGAGCAGCTATGGGAATTCAACAATAGAAACCCTCTTTTGAACAAATTTCTCTCAAAATGTACTTAACCTAAAAACCCTTTAACGACAAAAATGGTATTTGTTGATTCCTTCTGCCATCTAAACAAGTGCGTGATTAGTGCAGATGAAAACAGGAGTCTGCAACAGTGCAGACTATCAAACATGTTTACAAACTGAAAAAAAATCACATCTTTGTTACTCCTCTGCAGGCAAACTCATCCTCCTCCTCCCAATCAGCTGCCTCCACAAGAGCTGACAGTGACAACAGCAATGACACAAAGTTATGAAGAGACAAAACTATGCCAAGAACAACAAAAAAGAAACCTGCCAAATATTGTTTTCAGTTCATCTTTGCTATTCCACCTCTCAGAACTTGGTTGCTCTAAGGAGTACCAGAACCGTAAAGGACTGCAAACCCTTGCTGCAATAAACACTTCAGTGTAACTTGCATCCATTTAGAACTCTGCTCCACTGGCACACTTTCTGCCTTGTGAAATGGGCACTCCCATCACTCACTTCTGAAAAGGCTTAAAGAACTGCAACTTTATAATTAAGTGTTCTGCAGCAGAAGCTGGAAATGTTTTATAGATTCGTAAGCATCTCAGGCTGTTATGGATAAGCTCTTTATTAAGAGCAATTGATTTCTGCCCATGTCCCAGGAAAGACAGCTCTCCCCCTAATCCAAGTCCATCACCTCAATCTTGGTGGCATCTCTGCTTACAGCGGTGGTGCAGATGCTTTGAAATGGCATAAGCCCAGGGTACTCTGTGCATTATGATCCTTTTTCCTGCTAACATTGCAGAAACTTCCTTCCAACATTAAGCTAACTTTGTAATTCACAACTCAAGATGTTTAATCACTATTTTGTATGCTCTGCATACAGCTGTGGATTAGAACAGTGTATGTAATTCAGTCTAACCCCAAGTCACCACCATGCCGTCCTGAATGTGACATAAATTGTTCTGCAATACTGCTGCTGTGCACTTTGCTTCCTTGCTGTACACCTAAGACAATACAGAAATAAATTCTTTAGAGTGGTTATTTTCCCCACTCCAAGCCTTACTCTCACCAGCTACAATTTATGTTCCAGAACAATTATAAAACAAAGCCTCAGAGTGGCCATGGGAACCTAGAAGTTTAAGTCACAAGAGTAAAATTCCTAACATACAATGTAAACAAGGCATGGTCTTCAACTCAACACTGAATTCTTCCAAAGAGGAACCCAAAACTTCAGTTTCACTTATGCAGAGAGAGAAAAGAAAGTTTACATTCAGTAACAGAAAGCAAATCTCCAGTTCCTAAGGATAGTAGGTACTAGTGATACACTCTAGCATACACCACATACAGAAATGGAGCTCTCTCCACTCCACTCCTGCTGGACAGCAAATCCCAACCACCTTCTGGCTCAAATCCAGCCAAATCTTTGGGACTGACAAAAAACAACAGTAATACTCGCATATTACAAACACTTATTTAATTCCACAGACTCAAACATTCAATTCCAGAATTGCTGTCCTCCAAATCCCAATTATAAGTTGATTTTCAAAAGAAAAATCGCATTTCTTGGTGCCTTCTGTGAAGATGGTGTTCCAACAGTAGGAGGTGTTCCCTCAGCCAGCCTACCACACAAGCTCTGACGCCCCTGCATAGTGGTGTGTCCAGGATTGCTTTTATTGCTTGGCAATTAACTGTTTCAACTTTAACACACACATCCCCATCCCTTCCAGCTAAACAAACAAAACGAGCCTCAGAGCTTGATGATGACACATGTGGAAGTTCAAGGAGCCAGAACACACAGAGTAGTCCTGTCTCTCCAAGGTTTGCAGTTACACTGCCAAACACACAGAGCAGTCCCGTCTCTCCAAGTTCTGCAATCCACAGGAATTGCAGCAGTGCAGCTGACAGGACAGAGAGCAGTGCATGGCTGCCATTCTGCCTCAGAGGGCCATATGCTTTTCTGGGGCTTGTTTGTGTGCTAAGTAGAGAAAGAGGATACTGGACAGGGCACTAACTAGGAATATCACATCAAACCAACGGTGGTAGAAGTTGAACTGGAGCTCTCCCAGGACCTCAGTAATAATGGTGCGGTATTCCGGAGGCATGCTCATGCGGATCAGGAGCACTGACGACACAAAGTACATTCCCTGGAAGGTAAAACAGCAGTTACTGCCTCACCTCAGCTCTGTGGCTGACAGGGCAGCACACAAAGATCTGTCATGTGTTTAAACACACACAAGGTATGCATGCAGAAACGCACACGGGCATGCCCACGGCTCTCCATACTTACCATTATCTGGGCTAACAGCAGAACAATAACATTGGAGGACTTGCTGCTGGAAATGGCATAGAAGAACTAGGGAAAAAAAACCCAAAACCATTGGAAACAAGCAGTTAGGTAAGTCTGACCTCCCTTAGGACAGCATTAAAGGAAGATACCATTCAATACCTGGCATTTCAAAATACCCTATCAAAACCATACATTCTAAAGGGCTACCTGTAAACTACTTTCTTAAACCTCAAACTTTCATAAGCCCTAGTCTGCAACAATCTTCCCCAGCCAGCTGCACCTTGTGTTAAAAATCACAAAACAATACAGAGAAGTTTAAGCATAGGTACCAAAGACCAGATCAAGTCAATGAGTCACATGTCTGTTAATGCCTTTCAGTCCTACCAGCAGCTTAAATTAAGTAAAGCAAATGCTTTTAATTACCATCTCATCAACCTTACTAATAAGCCTTGGCTACCACAGCATTTTGAACCCTTGCTTATATTTACCACTTATTTAACACCTAGATCCCTTCCTGACAGACTGGGGAAATATCCTGCAAAAGGTATTCTTCCTACCTTCCTCCCTCTGCAAGAATTTATATTTAGATACCTAAACATAAATACAAACATAAATACATATTGACAGTTTATACAGTACTTGTTCCATCAAAAGGTAAAGATCTGATAATTAATTTCTCTATGTAAAACCACTTAAGAGTCCTGGTTCTTACCTTTGTAAGTGTGATTAACAACCCTCTAATAGAGGTAACAATGATTATTCCAACAAGAATAAAGGAAATGTGCTGAGACCAGAATTTGACCTGTAACAACAAGAAGAAAAGAGTTAAAACTTCAACATTAACTTCATTTACACCACATTGTATAGCTGCCAATGCTTCAGGGTCTTTGTCTCTGCTAATTGTACAGGTAGGTATCTATTGTATACAAGGTTTATATAACAGACATTTCCACAAATGTATTAGCAAGTGTTTACTCCAAACACAAGAGAAGGAGATTTAGTTTATACCAATCACAAAACCCCCCATTTTCACAGATTGTGTAAATGACAGACCACCTATTCACATAAAAAATCAAAAATACTCTGGAGCTGAATGTATTAATCTAAGTGGATTGTCTAAAGTGCTTCTATTTCTCCAAAACAAACACAAAAATAAAAACAAAAAACAAACCAAAAACAACAACAACAAAAACATCACTGCCTCTCTGGCAAGACCACATCCCCATCCCAGCACAAAATCATTGTGAAAGCAACATTCATGGTGCATTTTTCTTTCCTCCTCAATAAGTTAAAAGCCAAAGCCACATTCTCAGGGTCTATCATTTTCTCCCTAGCAGCAGGATGATTTTATTTAGATAAGATATGAACTGCTGAAAAGACTGCAAGAATTAATAAAGGCTCACATCAAACTGGATTCCCAGGTAATTTACAGTGATCTCAATTCCTCTTGTGACTGGATCAGTCTTCCCCACACGGTCAAATACAATATTGATGGTTGCCTGCAAGAGAGATGGATTTACATTCAAGCAAAAAGGCAAAAGCATTTCTCACTCTCACAGGTGGGGCTCATGCACGACTCTTCTATTGTACCACCATGAAAAGGGCAGGGGGTGGTCAGATTGCTGAAGGCAGCACAAACACATCCATGTAAGAATTACTGGAGTAATGCTGTATATAAAAAGCCACATCCAGAGCTTTTTTCCAACCAAGGGCCAGTTTCTTTCAGATTTTCTGGATTTAAAGAAACTAGAGCATTACTTAATGAACTGCATGTGTAGCATGATCTATGCAGGGTATATTTGCATACATCCACAAAAAATGAGATAAAAAATTTACATACCATGAAGATTTTCCAGACACAGTAGATGGAGAAAAAATAGCCCAAAAAGTTAAAGTATTTTCCCTGAAAAGTTTTGGAATACTCTATTCTCTCCTGGAAATACAAAATAAGAGATAGGGAGTAGAACATAAAAAAACATGTCATTTTCACAATCACCCATAACATAAAATTGTAATGGAGCACGAAGAGTAGCAAACACAGCCCTATCTTTCTACATCTTTTAATTAAAATGTTTCTGAACTCTTAAGTGTTAATTCATAAGCTTCTAAATAGTTATAGGGCCATGGAGAAGACTAAAGGATGGATCTGAACTGTCATCTAGCCCCAAAGTTAAAGGAACAGATCCTCACTCCACTGCATTACAACATTTCATCATTTACCTATTGAACAGGTTTCAATCTCTCATAACACATGTACTCTTTCAAACAACTCTGACCTCCCAACACTCATCTGGGCAGTTATTTACTGTGTACCTTTGTTGCATGCAAGTCAGCAGTTTCCAGGAAAAGCTGACGACTCAATTCTTCCAGGGCATCCACTTCTTGCTGGATAAGGGACAGATCTGGCAAACCAACATAGTCAAGGCTACAACACATAATGAATTCTTAATTAAGAAAACATTCCCTACCTTCGGCTCAAGGACCACATCTAATGGTTTGGTTTCCTCTAGATCCAGATCAGCTTTGTCATTCAGTCTTCATGCTCCTCATTAAAACAGCAACCAAGAAATCTCAAGGATGAACTTGATGCACACTACTCCAGTTTAAGGAGGTAGGCAGGACACAGTATTTAGGCAGTCATGCAACAAACTCTTTATTTCTTTGCCTGGGAAACACATCACAGAATAGAACCAGAGCTCTCAAAAACTGCTGCTCCACTTTGACCAGTGTCCCTTGCCACTGAAGTGCATCTCACAATATGTCATCTCAGATCATCTTCATAAACGAAACTGCTGAGATTAGTGATTACTATGAAGAGTCTGTCAAATAGCCAAATTCTGATTTTAGCAGCTAGTGTGTGTCGTGGTTGGTAAGCAACTCTGATAGAGAAGTACAGACCCTTGTCATTCCCAAGAGATTCCTTCTACAGGGAACTGGATGATCTTTAAGGTCCCTTCTAACCCAAACTATTCTATGATTCTGTGGTAAGTGTGCACATCAAGTCTCCCCTGATCTGCTGTACACCTCACCCATGGTGATGCAACAGAGCATCTATAGAGCAGGGCAGAAACATAAAACCTCTGCCTGTGTCACAGTGAAACTGTGCCCAAGGCCGGGGCAAAAGGTCAGACAGTGCCAGAGAACAAACTTCCCAGAGACATTAGGCTTGAAATGTATTGAAACACAAATGTTTTGTGACTGTCCCAACTAACACTCTACCTCTCAAAACAAAGAAAGCTGGATCCACCTCCCAAGGCAGGTGCCAGCATGCAGATGAAGGATACTTTCACTGCCAGGAACAGATGTTGTAACACTTTTTATCATTCCCCAGAAGCCAGTGGGTCTGTTATGCACTTCTCCTCTCTGGAACATTGTCCTGTGAGCCACTGCTATCCTGAAAGAATAGAAAATGCAAGTCCTTAGGAATATAATATTTTTATGAAAAATCAAAACAAGAAAAAAGAAAAAAGAATCCACCAGTTTCTTAGAAGATGCTGTTAAACTAAATTCACCAAAAAGAGATGGCCTTTTTTCCTTCCCCTAAACACCAATCCCACTACATAAAATTATCCTAATTGGGTCTGGAGTAGAGCCCAGATCTAATCAAGTGAGATTCAATGACACACTTCCCAAGTCTTCCATTCAGGATCCTGTTTCAATCCTAGAGGAATTTAAACCCAGTTAAAAATTCAGAATTCAAATGGATTTCTCAATCATACGATTAGTTGCTTTCCTTTCCTCAAACACATGACTGTGTTATCTCAAGCTCAGGAATTAGATGACTTCTCATGCTCCTCCCTCCCCTTGGACACCCCTTCTTTATCACGGCACATCCGCCTTTTCCATGGAGCTATGAGCTCTGGATGGTGTGCAGAGCACTCTCTGGTATGCTGTCACCCACTGCTGGGCTGCATGACAAGCTGCTATGAAGCACAAACACACAAATCCATCCTTGGACTGAACCACTGGATGCCTCAGGCGATCTGAATGTGACTCCAGAAGCGAATTCCAACAGCTGCTGCATATCGTCACTCACACTTCCATGCGCACCACAGCATAATCCCCTCGAGCAGTGCTGGCTTCTGGTCTCGTTCCCTCACATTTCTCCCCACTGAAATTTGTGAGCAAGGTATCCATTCCTAAGCTGAAAACTATTCACAGGGTTCTCAGGACGATCCATGATTCTGTGGGATTTAGTCCCTTTGTTGTAGCTGTAGCTGCAGCCAGCATTGCTACATTTGGCACTGAGCCCTCTTCAAGGATGTTGATAAGCAGTGCAATAAAAAAAAATTTAAAATCCTTCCATCATTCCTTTCACATCATCAAAATAAACACCCTTGGGGCACCCTACATACAGATAAAAGCACATATGGCCACAGACTACAAATAACAGAGATCTCAGAATCCTGATAGCTGCCAAATGTAAGAAATGCATTTTTAATCCTTGCTTTCTTCACAATACACAGATTCACATGGTCCATCCTAAATCATCCACAGCACTGCAGCAAAAATGCACCCAAGTCCAGGTGAAACACAAGGCTATAAATACACAAAGGTAAATCTTCTCTTTCTAGATCTCTATATCCACACAGCAACAGTTCTGGAGACCTCACAGAAAGGATCCCCAGACAAACACCACCGTGATATTTGTGTCACATCAGCTGATCTGACTCCAACATGACACAAATAAAGCAATGCCAATCACAATGCTGGCATTTCAAACCTCAGGATTAGTTATGTCACACCTGTAAGAATAAGTATAAAGAATCTGACAGCCTTAAAGGTGAGTTTCCTAAAGGCTTTATTTGATGGTGCTCAGGAAGGAGAGAAAAGTGATTCCTGTACAAAACCCATCAGAACAACTTTCACCAACTATCTCCTACTGACTAGGAAGCCAGCATGAATAAGGGTTGGCATGAGAAGAAATGTCAGGATCAGCAAAGAAAACAAAAGCCTTAGGTTCTACTGCCTTGCAACTCTTGTGCTCACTGTTAAGTTCTGAACTATCAGGAGTACTGAGAAGGTGGCCAGCAAGCACATCAGTGACATTTATGGAACTGCAACATTTACCCAGAGCTGGAAAATACTGCTATTCCCACTTGTTCTAACAATTACTCGGTTGCAGTTGGACTGATACATATCTAACCTTTTGAATTTGGCTTTACATGAGCAAATAGTCCAATCATGTAAGCCCACTGCTCCCTGTCAAAGCAAAAAGGAGAATCTAACTTCTGCTATTTCTTGCACAGTTCTGAGACTACTTAGTTTTGCACACTGTTTTGGTTTTTTTGTTGTTTTTTTTTAAACATATACATGAGTTTCATTATAATTCCCAAGTGATTAATAAAGGGCTCTTCATAATAGTTGGGAAGTTGCCATATCCAGATTTCCTGGCCAAAGGAAGGCACAAATGTGCTAGTTAGTTACCAGCCTCTGGCATCCTTTAACCCCAACATCACTCTCCCTGGACCAAAGAACCGAAAACATTGTACGAAACAAAAAAACAGTCAGAAACAGCACTACAAGCACTACACAGTATCTTTTAACTCCAAAGGCAGTCTTTTAGAGTGTGCTTCCAGTCAATTACATCAATTAAGCCTGAGTAATTAAATTCTCTCACTACTTACCATCTCATACATGACTACAAACACAAATTTGTTCATTGCTTAACATTTTCAAAGGGGAAGGAGGTTTTGCTTTAACTACACTTCCATCAGCTAATACTCATCAGCAGATATATACATGGTGATAAATTTGGCAAGGTTAGGCTACCTAAAAGCTCCCCTGCACATGTTAAAATGTTCCATTGAAACATTAAGGCATCAAAAGTAAAGTTTCGGAGACTGTTGTGTCAAGACAGTCAAACCTTTGAAGTGACTCCAGTAACTGGATTTATTCTGCACTACTGGCAAGACATGATATATGTAATATTGATATGAAATATGCAGACAAAAATCTTCAGTATAAATGAAACTACATTGTTTCTAAAAGTAGGGTGGTTATTTTTTAGCTTGGGGAACATGGAATAAGCTAAACCAATGCCAGCAGAGTTCTGATGGCACACTGGTGTACTATAGTATATCCACATTAGCAATGTTTTGCAATTCTGCAAAACTTAACCAACATAAACCTTGCTGTTTGCAAGAATATAGCTGTGTCCACACCAGCTCACTACCCTGCTTCAGCTTTGGCCAGGGTCCACCATATGTACAAACCACTTTCTGTCCTGAAACCACGAGTAAGAGCCAGCTGTAGTGGCCTAAGGCTCCGTGACTCCGCAGGAGAGGAAGGTGCCCATCCAACAGATTAGTTATGCTGCCAGCAGAGAGCTACAAATGGTGTTGGAAGCCTAATCTGTGCCACTGTAGCCACAAAGGGCACTACTTAGTGTTGAAAACAGTCATTTATCAAGCCAGAACAAAACACCACACAGCTCAACCCAATTCAGATTTCAAGAACCATCTCATACCACACTGACTGCAAATCCTTGAGATAAATAATTCCATGCTACTGTTGTCCTCTCACCTTTTTTTCTTGCTAACAATCATGTCCATAGTCTGAAGGAGTCGTCGCTCCAGAGCCAAAATATCTGCATCTGTTACATTCCTGCAAAATAAAGACCCCAATTAGGCTTGCTACCCCATTTCAGAGATGTGCACATGCCTATGAGGCAAAGAAAAGCCTGTATAAAGGGAATATGCAGAAGCAGTGGAAATGGTTCTAGCACGCAGACATGACAACAGCTAGATTCAGAAAAAAAGTAACAAAAAACTTGAAACAACGCCACAGGAAAAGCAAAAAATAATCTCAAAAAGCTGGACAAGTATTTCACAAGGCTGCAGTTACCTGAGAAAGTAGGACATGTAAGTGTATGGACAGTTGACAGCCCCAAATCCTGACAGCAAAGCCATGAGTGTCACCCCAATCACACCAACACGGCTGATGAGCTGTTCTATAGATAGGATTCCTGAGGGAGGGAAAAACATGGCATCAGCAACCTTGCTCTCTTCACCCTGCTCCAACACTTTATGCCTTCCTAACATAACACAGAGCTGCTTAATTAATCTGACTGCCTTCCCACTGCAATGACCCCAGGTAATGGGAAGGACAGACAGGGACTAAGAGAAGAAAGGGGTAGGAAGTCTCCGTCAGAAATCACCGAACCCTGGTTAGAAACAGCGATGGGGAACTCCAGCTATGAAGAAACTTAAGACAGATATATAGATATGCAGCGAGTACTAATTATCAATATTTTGGTTCCAAACTAATAAAATACGTTTGCCATTTGCTGAGGTGGGAACAAAGATCATCCACCAGGCAGTTAAAAAGGAGTGTCTTCCAGAAATTTTGCTATTATTGCTATTATTATTTGCCAGTTGGTCCTGGCAAACTGGCCTAAAAATGTCTGAACCCCCATCCCATTGGAAGCGACCCCTCCAGATCAGGCACAAGCTGTGCTTGTAGGACAGTGGGCTTGGGAAGCTTAAGCTGCTCCTGGCTGTTGAGTGTTCATCTGGTTGACACAAACACGTTGTTGAGGTGACCACCAACAAGGTCTTCTACCTGAGCACCAAGTGGACCCTAAAACATGTAATTCAACACGAACATCAAGCCTGTGCTGTAACCATCACCAAGCACTGAAACTGCATTTATTCTTACCACAGACCTCAACCTGCCTTCCCAGGATACGGTGCCATGTGCAGTAAACACCACTCACTTTTTAGGGAGCTGGTTATAGAGCAGCTGCCACACACAGCACATTTAGAGCTTACACGATCGCAAAGCTGAGATGGCTGAGCGCCAAACCACATTTCATGCTTCAGAGAAGTGGAATGAATGATGAAAACAAGGCAAAAAGACTTCACAAAGGGAAACCGAGACACGCAGTCATGTGCAGCTGCACAGAGATTTACAGGAGCTACAGAATGTGCTACAATACACTGGCCTTTTGCCCCACACACTGTCAGACTGCAGCACTTCAAAGAGAGGTGCCTTCAAAATGACATGACATTCCACTGGTTGGAGCAATGCTTCCCCACGAAACTCACACATAAAGTGAATTAATGTTCCATCAACTCAGACAGAGGTAGGAGCTTTATTAGAATATTGGTGTGTCATTAAGCATAACCTTCCTTCTACTACAAGCTCCCAAACTCAGGTTTGTGAAATAAGTTCAAGGCAGCCTTTGCTCAATGGTGCACTTCTCAGCTGCAGGACACTACCATCCCCATCCCCACCTGCCTGAACTGGGTCACCACTCCCCAGTGAGGCCCACAGCAGCCTTGTCTGTACATGCAGGACAGGAGAACCCAAACAATACAGCAGGGAACAAACATGTAGAGTCCTTTGCTCTACCCTCATGTCTACACCTGGTAGGATAAGGCACTAGAACTCTTAAATGGAGGTAACACACCCTGTAAAGTACAATTTAAAACAGAAAACACCCTACTACCCATTCTGGAAATCTGCAGGTGTTACATAGCCTCCCAGAACTTTTTGGTGACCTAAAGAGCATTAGATAAACCCCATGGCTAAGTTTCCACTGGATTGTTGCACTCTGCCAACTCAAGCACCTTCTGCAGCTCACATTGGATGCAGGTTTTTCTTGGCAATGCAACACTTTGCAGAGGGATCTGTGCTATACATCAGTTGCTGGATTTCAGAGGCAAATTACACAATTACAAAACACAGACATACATTTTCTCTGAGGAAACTTTTAGGATCACAGACGAAAGGGTGAGCAGACCCTACAGCAGTTGGTGTCCCTCAACTTCTCATGTGAGTACAGCATCAAGCAGCTTCTCACAGAACAGAAAGACTAAGTTGAGCATTTTGCATGCAGACAGACATATTCACCAATTTCTGTGAAACTGACTGAATTTCACCTGTGGGAAACAATATCCAAACAATTTTCCAGTGCAGGGAAAACAGAAGGGCAATGTAAGTTACACAGGTAACACCAGTGACAAATAGTCTGTTTCTAACAGCATTACAATCCTTCAGCACAGTCAAGTGTCTCAAGGGTTCAGCACAGCCAGGCACATGCTAACTCTGCTGGACCCAAACTAGCCCAAGTATTTTCACAATGAAAATACTCATGACCACAACAGAGACACCCAAGCTATTTCTGTACACAAACAGCTCTGGCATCCAGTAGGACTTACCAACCCACACTCCAGTCCCGTGCAACTGCACAGCCTCTGGGCTCAGGCACAGCAGGAATGTGTACCAGAGCCAGCACAAATGCCAGGCCCCTTGCTGGCTACAGTCTGTGCAGCTCTGGAGTTTAGGCACACTGCTGTGTTTCGGACACAACTGGACAGCCACTTATGCTAAACTCATCTGACTTAAGCCACAAGAAAGAAAAACCTGACTAAAAAAAGTCAGATGAAGGATAGGTTGATGATCTGCTTCTTAAATAAACTAGGTTTCGTCTCCACAGTAGAAAGAAGTAAGTAAACAAAAATTGTGATCAGCTTTTTTTGCAGAGATAAGTTTCTGTGCTCTCAAAAGTACACCATGTCCTTACATAGTCTAGGATCAGTTAGGACTTAATTCCTTCAAGTGTTCCTGTGGTACTGAAAGAAAACTAATGAAAACAATCCAGATGTATCCATCCATTTCTATCAGTCTGATAACCTTTACATTGCAGATTTCAAAGCAGAGCAGACCCTTGGTTCCAGGAACAACTTTCTTTCTACAGTCCCAGCTGCAGAGATGGAATAATAATAGCTCCAAAATAAAAGTGAAATAACAAAGTCTATTTGCAGGAGGGAAGAAATCAGCAAGAAAATGAAACTCACCATGTTTTGGGCTGAGGATTGGAAACGGATCCCCCAACTTCCAGAAGAAATACATGAAGGTCAACCAGACAACACATGCAAAAAGTAGTTTCTGTCTGTGCACTAATAGAGAGGAAAAAGGGAGTGTTTAAACTAGGCTCTTCCTTTAGGGCTTTTTAGAGCTTGCAACATTTCTACACTGATCTAAATGCTACTTGGAGAACTGGTGGCCAAAGCAGGTGTCACCTGACAGCACACCCCTTCACCTCAAACAAGGCTCCACTGTCCACATGGGACCACTTCACTGCTTCTTTCTTGTGTGATCTTGAATGTGAATCTTAAATATTTCATCTTCATGGCAAAACTACACATTTAATATTCCCAACCTACGTGCCTAAGCTTCACACAAAAGAGTGATGTGTATCACACATCAAGGTGTGATGTGCATCACAGCTCAAGGGTTAAGTGTCCATTAGCCCATGGAAAAGGCCTCATCCAGATAGCAGAAACAAAAAAAGCAAAAGTAATTTACTGAGTTTTACTGCTTCAGACGTGATTTATTGAGCTTCCCTGCCTCATTTCTTTTGCCCCCTAGCAGAAAAACACAGCCCTGCCAAGGGTTGCAGAGTTTTGGCTGCAAGCTTAAAATAGCAAAGGAACAAATCCCAGTAATATTACTCTGAAGTGCTCAACTTTGTTGAAACCTGTGAAGAAAAGCAGCATTTGCTGGGGTCACGTTAAACATTTCCTGATTGTTCAATGAATGGTCCATGATAAAGTATGAAAGTCCAAAGAGAAGGTATTTAACCAGAACAGAAGCAGGGCAAGGAGGGAGGTACGAGGACAGAGACCAGAATTATTTCTCATTTGTATCCCTAATGTCAAATTAGCAGCTCCCTTGCCACAAACCAAGTACTCACATAATCTGATATTGCTCACAACAAAGTAACCAATGTAGAAAGGCACCATGAAAACTAGGATGAGCAGAATGACACACAGGTTCAGCTTCCAATGAAAATATCTAGAGCTGAAATAAAATCAAAATACTGATTTAGCACAAGTTCATAATACAACAAATTTCTCAAAGAAAATTGCATGTCAGTGAAATCTTTTTACCTACATTAAGCAATGAATAATATTGGCTTAGCATATAGAATATTATGGATTTTTTTTTTATTAGTGTGGAGGAGAGGGAGTTGTTTGGTTTGGGGCTTTATATAGTTTTATTTTTAAACACAGAGGTCAAGAATGTGTATTTAAAACTAAACAACTATCCAGAAAACCACACTGGGTATTTTATCAAGTACTGTATTTTCTATGGTGACTACTGCCAGTTGCAGCATGATTCATGTGACTGACTGTTCATCTAGTTGAACAGTAAATCAAAAAGTATAAGCAGTAATTAATTTTCTAATGAACAGCTGAGTCAAAAAAAAAGCCAATTCTTATTGAAAAGACTAAAAATATTTCATGTTGATAAGTCAGCATGTTCCACTTCAGAGTGAACTGTCTCATCTGCAAGACTTTGCAAAGCAAGGTTTTATAAATACATATACAGATTAACATGATGAATACTCCTCTGACCAAATCAGAGTAGTCAAATGCAGGTGAGATTCATCTTGGCTGAACTGACCTTTCACTTTACTTGAACAGAAAAATACATGTCCCCATTCCCAACATTAACTCATATCCTTTTCATCCTAAGGGAAGAAGAAATTACAAGGATCCTTGTCACTTTTTCCTAACTAATTCAGAAGCAAACATTTTCATCTATACTTCAGTCTAGTGCTTTATTGAAGCTTATAAAAGCATTCTCCTCAGTGATCTCTCTGGCTACCAGCCCCATGTATTAATAACACGCAGAACTAACATTACCTTTCATCACTTCTGTACTTCTTGCCTTTCAACCCCTTTGACTGCTCTCTTATACTTGTATGATGAGATAGAATAAGAAGAAACCCAACTTAGCCTCTGCATGTTACTGTTCTATCTTCTCTTCCGTATTGACTTCCAAAGAAGAGCTTTTAACATCCCCTTTATGTAAAAGTTCTCACCCTATTGTTAAAAGGGGATTCACCTTTGATTCACAAATCCTGCATTGTTACAGACGTACCTTTCACTCCAAAATTAGCTTCACATCTTATTCACTCCTCTGACCACCAAAGAAAAACCAGTGCTTAAAGATTCTGTAGTCTTTAGCATCTGAAAAGTGCTCTTAGTATGATCTGAAGAGTTACAATACTTCCATAAAAGAAGTAATTTCTTTTAACTTGACAAATGGAGAATGTCAAAGGCAAAAGCCTTGCCCTAAGGACCTAGACCAATTGTTAATAGCAATTGCATGGAAAATTTAAAACTTATGGCTACTAGTCCCATATTCTGTCAAATAAAAAAATGTTCCTGCACAAACATCTTCCTTGAGCTGCTGACAGTTTTCTCCCATGATTTCCCCAATCCAAGACAAATCCATTAGTTCAGAAATTAGACTGAAGATGCTGCAGAGCACAAGGCAGGGCAGTCCCCAGTAGGCTCCCAGACTCACCTGCTGTTCAGCACTCCCAAAATCTCAAAGATTATGAGCTCAAACATGGTACAAGAGAAGGCAAAAGTCACAGAGAAGATCACCTGGACCACATACTGTCGTACCTGCAATGCAGAGAACAATCCAGAGACATCAGGCGTTTACATTTCTGGAATGGCATCCTGATTTCCTCAGATAACAAACTAAATCACAAGGCATGACTGCCCACAACTTGGTCTCTTGCTTAAAGGCACCAAGCCCTTTATCTGCTTAGGAGGAAGCCAAAAGCTTCTTGGAAAACAGAGGGCAAACTCACACACTAAGAGAGCTCTTTTATATCAACCTTAGATTTAAAAACAAAATCCACATCAGAAAATCTGCTGGGGTCTGAATTTGGCTTGCACTTAAACCATCTCTAACCTAGACTACAATCTCGTACTCCACTATGGATAAGAAAACGGCATTTTTATTCCCCACAAGGAATTCAGCTGCAATTGACACATCTCACTGGATTTGATTTTGTCTCAAAAATTTCAGTCTGTATAAACTGGGCTTACCCACCTTTAAAAGGCAACACAGTTCCCTCAGTTTCCTATTACCCCTGCATCTCCACCATATTTCTTTTTATTTAACAGTAGCCAGTGTAGAAACTGGCTACTGTTAAATAAAAAGATACTGTCAGTGGCCACAGAAGAACCCATTTCTTCAGACATTTAGGAGTCTTTCAAACAGAAGCACAAGAGGAAATTAAAAAGAAAGTTAACTGCAGATAAGATAAAAGGGATTAAAGAGAGGAATAAGGCTAAATGCAGTTTTTAAAATATTTCTATAACTGGGAGTATTTTTTACGACACAGACTTGTAATGAAAGGTTCCTTCTCACCTCATAATCTTTGAAGAGCTTTCGCATGAAGAAGAGCCACCCAAATCCAAAGAACAGCACCTGCAGGAGAGATGAAGCACTCAACATTTGCATCCTGCAACTCGCCAAACACAAACCCACTGCACTGCTGACTGTAAACTAAACAAATGGAAGGAACAGAGCTAACCCAAAGTACCCAAGAGCCACAAAAGATTAACACCTGCCAAGGTACCATGGAAAAAATAATGTTTTAAATATCTAAGTGTAGCAAACACAAAATGCTATAGTAAGGAAGATCTCATCAAGACAACAGAGTTTCATGTTCCAAAACTCTCAGAATTCCTCAGTTCCTGGCCTGCCAGAATCCTTTGCACTCTTGATTCTTATTTCACTCTTGTAATCTACAGAATTAAAGACAATGGGTTTTTTACAGGAAATACAGAAATGGAGTGAAAGCAAATACTTGAATGCCCACCACATACACAGCTTCTAGGCATGAGTAAATGTTATAAAAACATCTGCTGTTTCTTGTAGACTAGAAGTGCAATGAATATTTTGTAGAGGTCTTTACAGTACATCTGGTTAGACACCAACACATTGTGGGTGAAAGATGCTACAGGGATGATCTCTAAAGTGGGGAAAAGGCAGTGCTGAATGCCTCAAACCACAGTCTGGTGCTGCAGGAAGCCACAAGGACAAGGCAGGTGAAGCAGAAAAAGTCAATAACACTTCGCTTTTCAGTGGACATAAAAGAACATTACAAAATTGGTTAAAGTTTCTTCACACTCCAGAAGGGATCAACTTAATATCACAGCTATTTTGCAGATGATTTAAATGAAGTAAACACAAATTGAACAAGGTGGCCAAAACTGCAGTTACCTGTCTTCAGAGAGTAAAAGGGGACTGTGTTGTCAGGCCTCCTGTGGCAGTCCCATCTATTCCTCATGAGACTGAAAGGGAGTGTAATGATTTAAAAGAACCCAGGCAAAAAGAGAATTCAGGAAATACTCAATATTTTTTACAGAAGTAGCTTTGTCCAAGGCAAAGACAAAATTCAGTATATGTCAGACATCACGTAATAAAATCAGTTTATCTCCTCAGAGCACATGGAAAAAGCCAGAGCTTTCTGCCCACCCTGCCATGGAGATGAGAATCATCCAAAGACAAAAACAAAGGAATTATTGTGCATTACTTCCCTGCACATCAGGAGTAACCACAGTAGCAAAGGTAACACACTAACATGATTTAAAGACAAGGAATACCTGGAATGCTGGGCAAGAAGATCAAAGACAGCTGCCTTGAAAGAACAACTGAAATAGGAATGAGGTCAAATGAGTGATTTGTAACAGCTGCCAAAACTTGTTCGAGGAGGACTTCAGACTTTAAAGTAGCTGCTAGCAAAAAGGAAAGATATTCCATAAGCCTCCTATCTAGGGGTCATAAGCTAAATAAGTATGATAAGCAAATGAGATCTACATAAAATAATTCCACATTTAACTGTAGGAAGAAGAAAAAGGTAGAGACAAACTCTTCAAAAATAAGTAAAAGATGAAGAGATAAGTAGGTACAATAATAACCGAAAACTAAACAAAAAGATTAGACTCCCCTTGTGTTAGGGACCATACAAAAGCAAAGAAAGACATTTGGGTAGAAGTTCACACTCTGAGACACTGCAGGTGAATGTGACATGTAAACTTAGCAAAATCTTGAGCATTAGACAATTACATGCAGCAACTCGAACATATAACTTGGTAGTGTTAAAGATAACGAGAGCCTTCAAAGCTGTCATCATAAATGAAAGAAAAGCTATTAACTAAATTAGAACTCAAAGCAAAAAAGTGGGAGTTTTTGTTCTGGGTGAACTGTTAACAGTACCAAAGCTATGCTCTAACCCTAACCCAAACCCTAACTTCCAAGCCACCAAGAGTGATAAACACGTTGTAAGCAAAAATCAGAGCATTATCAAATGGGAGGGCATTGTTCTTCTAAGAAACAGCCAAAAGCTGTCCTGAAATTGTCAGGAATTAGGGTTGTGTATCAAAGTTTACCTAAGACAACCACCTGCTGCTGAAATGGGAAAGGTTCCTTTTCCTCAGCTCATCACTACAGAACAATACTTTCACACCAGCTCAGAAGATTAAAGATTAAATCAGATCCCTCTGCGATCCACTTAAACGCATTTTCATCTGCTCCAATCGTCTAGGGTCAGTATTGCCATCAAGGTCCAGCTTGCCCGCAGCCTTGCTGAGAAACATCAGAAATAAACCAAGCACCGGGCAGAGAGCAGCAAGGTGAGCAGCAAGGCGAGCTTCCAGTGCCAGCGGGAGGAACTGGAATTTAACTGGAGCGGAGCCCGGCGCTGCCCGGCTGGGCCCGGCCCGGCCCCGCCTGAGGGTCGGCGCGCCCCCGGCGCCGCCCGCGCTCCGCCAGCCCGCACAGGGCGCCGGGACAGGCAAGCCCGGTGACGGCGGGACCTCCCCGCTCCCAGCGGCGGGGAAGGGCTGGGTACCTGCGAGGTGAACATGATGCTGGAGTCGATGAGGAAGCTCATGGCGGCGCCCAGCACGGCCCGGCCCGGCCCGCCCGCCGCGCTTCCGGCTCCGGCGGCGGCGGCGCGCAGGCGCGCGGGCGCGTGCCGCGGGCTCGGCGCCCCGCCCTCCTGCCGGCGGGGGCGGGGCCGGGGAGGGGAGCCACGCCCCCTGGCGGCCCGGCGGGGGCGGGGCCGCGGAGGGGAGCCACGCCCCCTGGCGGCCCGGCGGGGAGCGGGGCGGGGCCGCTGTGGGGGCACGGCGCGGGCGCGGCCGCTGTGGGGGCACGGCGCGGGCGCGGCCGCTGTGGGGGCACGGCGCGGGCGCGGCCGCCAGCCTGAGCCCTGCGCCGCTCCCCGGTCAAACTGCTGCGCCCAAAGCCGCGGGAAGGGCACCCGCTGCTGGCCCGGGGGCAGAAGGAGGTGTACGAGGCACAGGGAGAAGGGCAGGGTGAACGCCGCCCCCTGAGCTCCCCAGCGCGGGAGGGACACGGAGCTGTTGCAGCGAGTCCTGGGGAAGCCACCGGGTTAATGGGAGGGATGGAGCACCGCTCCTGTGAGAAAAGGCTGAGAAAATTGGGATTGTTCAGCCTGCAAAAGGGACGGCTTGGCGGTGACCTAATTGCAGCCTTGCGGTGTCTGAAGGGAGCCTGCAAGAAAGATGGAAAGATGGAAAGATGGAAAGATGGAAAGGGGCTTTGTACAAGAGCGTGCAGTGACAGGACAAGCGGGAATGGATTCAAACTGAAAGAGGGCAGGTTCAGATTAAGCATTACAAAGAAATTCTTTCCTGTGAGGGTGGTGAGGCACTGGAACAGGTTTCCCAGAGACGTGGATGCCCCATTCCTGGAAGTGTTTAAGGCCGGGTTGGGTGAACCTCTGAGCAACCTGGTCTGGTGGGTGATGTCCCTGTCCATGACAGGGGTGTGGAACTGGATGATCTTTAAGATCTCTTAAAGACCCAAACAATTCTGTGATTCTGCCATTTTAGCACCACTGTGACTCCTCTGCAGGAGCAGGGCAGCAGAGACACCACAACTGCTCCTGGCCCATCTTCCCCCGTAAGGGGAGATTGATGGAGCCCTCTGCATCCTCCTTCCACACTGAGAACTGGGCTCTGGGTGCCTTTCAGGACATTCAATTACAATATATCAAGGAATGGGGCCAGAAGGGAAGCAAAAGTGCAGACAGGGAATTTCCTGATGGCTATCAGTATGAGATTCAATCCTTCATGTCATAGTCATGTTCCCGCTTGACCTTCATGGCATCTGAATATTTTTCTTTTTTTCCTCTTAAATACACACTTTGAGGAAATGGCCCCAGGGGACACCAGGGGACATTTTTTCCCCTAATGTTTAATTTAGATTAGACATTAGGGGAAAAAACATCACAGAAAATATTGCAAAATATTGGAACAGACTAAGCAAGGAAGTGGTGGAGTCCCAACCCCTCTGAATGTTTTAAAATCATGGATATGGTGCTTGAGGGCATGGTTTGATGGTGGTGCTGGATTGGCAGTTGGACTTGATGATTTTGGAGGTCTTTTCTAACCTTAATGATTGTGATTCTGTGATTCTCACCATTGCCACTCAAAACTGTATTCAGAATAATAAACAAGAGGAGAAGAATCAAGTTGTGAGTTTAACAAAGCACAGATCCCCTGCTGACTGAAAATCAGGAAACTTTATTCATTATAACTCATTTCACTAGGAAAACAAATCTATGTTTGGTTGTGCTAAGTTACCAGATTAATCCCACAGTCTCTGATTACTTGGCTTTCTGTCTTTCTCTCAGACTTCTTGGTTTGAAATTTGTCTCCTTGTCTGCAGTATTGCAAAGAGCAGAAAACATTCCATTTTGATGGAGAAATGAACTGAGGGAGCAGGTTATTGTATCTCAGCTGAGACCTTTTATTTTACACCTTCTGGTACCACTACCAGTTAATGCAGAGCTGAGATCAGGCCTTGCCTGTTCTTTCTTTCTGTATCTGCTACTTAAAAACTGTTGTTTCCTAAAGTGATGAGATTCCTGAGTTAGGAGGGATTTGTGGTTGTTTTGTTCTGTGCTGGTAGGTTTTGGGGCAAGGTTAGCTGTTGGTTGCCTTTTAGATACCAAGGTTAACAGGAAATCCTTTAAAAATAAGTTATACAGAGCCAGATACTGATCTTATTTATGCCTTGGCAACTCAACTTCCACACAAAGGTAAAAAACAAGGCAGAGTTTGGTCATAGGTCTTAAACTTTCTTCTTTGCATGTGTTTGGAAATAAGCTTGAATCATGCCTCTGCTTAGCTGTAAATTACTGATACTCGAGCCTTGGGAGAAACACACAGGGAACAAGATAATTCCTATAGGAGGGACCCAGCCCTGCACCCACCTCTCAGCCCCAGGACTTCTCCTTCAGGGAAGACAAATAAACAAAAAAAAAAAATAAATAAAGAAAAGGGGAAAAGAAAAATGGGAAAAGAAAAAAAAAATGGGGGAAAAATGGTGAAAATAAAAGAAAATGGGGAATTTATTTTGTGCTGTTTCTCTTTAGTCACTGATGTGCACGTGTGGGGAGAAGGGTCCATGGCCCTTCACAGGTACAAAGGCAGCTTCTCAGTTATAGTTATTCTTCCACATATTATAGTGAATGAGGCTATTTTGTGTTCAGTTTGTAGAGAGAACCACAATCAGGCTTTTTAAGTAATGCAGGAAGCTGCAGCATGTTGAATTTAATCATGGGGTTTGGCCAAGAGTATATTTAGCAATCACACAGGTGTTCCAGAAGGTGCTACGGGGCATATTTATGACAAATAGCCTTAGCTGGCAGCCAGCCACCCATTTTTTTTTTCTTCTCTCCAGAGGTTTTCATAAACAAGAATTCTGAAGCTGGAAGCATTCCTACATCGTTCTGATTTCTGCATTTCTTTTGAGTTTATTTTTGATGAGTTCAGGTGATGATGTTCACTGGCAATTCATGTATTCCTTTACAGGGTTGTCTATGACTCTTTTGTGAACTAACATGTATGTATTGAAAAACTTACCTGAACATTTTTTTATATAGCTTTTCCACCTTGGAAGCCAATAAATGGCTGGTTTGCTTTCACTGTACCAAGCTGGATCTAGCAAGGCGAAGGCCAACACTCTTTGTTTTTTCAAAATGTTCTGTCAGTAGCTCTGTAATCACCATTTCTATTCAGTGCTGCTTCATCCCAGATCAGCAAGCTTTAAAACACACAGGTTTTTGTTGACAGAATGTTAAAATGCAGTCCTCTGCACTTTCAGATGGATTTAAAGGCACACTTGATGCTGAAGTTAAAATATGGAAAGACCTAAGCTGCTATGTTTCCACGATTTTATCTGTTGAAAAGCATACTCTCTTTTTTCTTTTTTCTTTTTTTTTTTTTTTTTTTTTTTTTTTTTTATTTATAATGCTTTTTCCAAACCAGTTACACAACACGATTCTGGCCTCAAGCAGCTTTTGTAGCTACCAAACATCATTTCATAGAATCACAGAATCATAGAGTAGTTTGGGTTGCAAGGGGCCTTGAAGATCATCCAGTTGCAAGCCCCTCCCATGGGCAGAGACACTTTCCGTCAGACCAGGCTGCTCAGAGCTCCATCCAGCCTGGCCTTGAGCACTTGAGCAGCTGATTCTGTGTGTGCATCGGCCTCTGCCGGTGCCTGGGGAGGGGCTGTGGCCTTTGGGAACGCCTAGACCAGCTCTACCAGAGCACCCCGCGAGGCAGGCGGCACCTGCATGTGTCATTCCACCACGCAGTGGCTGCACTGGGCTTTCAACTTGGGATATCCCAAGGGATAGACAGTTCAGGCTGGAAGGCATCAACTGGCCCAACCTTCAGCTCAAAACAGTCAGATCAGGGTGTTCAATACTTTCCACAGCCAAGCTTCTTCCCCCAAGGATGAAGATCCCACCATGTCTCTGGACACCTGCTTTAGTGCTGAACCACTCTCCATCTGAACATTTTTTTCCTTGTCAGAGTTTTTTTAGGCAAAATTTTCCTTTGCTCCTTATGGTGATTGTTGTCTCTGGTCTTTTGCTGTGCATCTCTGTCAAGAATCACCATCTTCCCTGGAATTCCTCCCCCTTAGGAACCTGAAGAAAGCATTTAGGGCTCCCAATGCCCTCAGCCCCCTCCTCTCCAGGCTGAACAAACCTCCTGTGTCTCTTTGTACAGCAGGCTGCAGAGAGGAAAGCTTGAGTTGTTGACAGATATGTAAGTCTTGCCTCTTCTACTGAAATAGGCTGGTGCCAAGCTAGTGGCAAGGAAAGGATTGTGTGCCAGGCTATATCTTGGCAAGCCAACACATATTCACTTGCCATGGTTACTGCTCAGCTGTGTGAGCACATTTTGTGTTGGCAAAAATCCTTTCCTGAGCCATGTTAAAAGGTACAGCACACACAGAGCCCAAGGAATGGCAATGTCATTCTGTTGGGGGGGGAAATTATTCCAATACTTTGACAAGTCCCCTGATTTTGGTACATTTATCCAGCCCTGGCTCTCAGGAAATCTGGCACTATATACTATTTTATCACATCTACCTTTGGTTTACAGGAAGGCCTTAGTGTAGTACTCATGGATGTTCCTGTCTTTACTAAACAAAACTAAGCCTAGGCTAGGATTACTTTCAGTTGTCAGCCTGAAAAGCCATTTTCTATACAAAACAGCAAACTGCCACCTTTTTTTTCAGCATTGTGTGACACAGCTGCTCTTTAAATGTAAAACTGCACAGTCAGTGAGTTACTGAGCAGCAGGAGAGATAGGACTTCCCCCATCATTAAGTAGATTTGATGCCCACACAGACCTAGAGAGCAGAGATCCCCCAAATCTCTCCTCTCCTGCAGAAGGAGGAATCTGCACCTCACTGTTTCAGCACTGAGAGGTTGTGGTTGTCGGTCTCTGTTGCTCTAAGTGGTTTAAAACAGAAGCCCAGCAATATTCTGTATAATATAACCCTCTCCCACATGCCTTGCAAGCACCTTAAAACTGTCAGAGCTCCACCAACCTGAACCAAGTGCTCTGGAAACTGCCTTATTTAAGCACAAATGCTGCTCCAGAGTGGGTG